AGGATCGATTTTATCGGTTCCTAATATTTCATTTGGTTCGAGAGATTTTTCCTTTCAATTTTCAAAGCTTAGATCTCCGAAGCTCCAGCTTGGCAATGGTTCCAAAATGAACTTCATCAGGGCCATCTGCTATTCTCAAGGTTCTTGCAGCAGCCCAGAGATGAGCAAGAACAGTGTCAGAAGATAAGCCACCTGCACCATGAACTTCCATTCCCATGTCCAGAATCTGCAATGCCATATTGGTTGCTGCAACCTGTGCCATGTTTCACCAAGGTATTAATGGAGACGTGGTCAAAAAATGAAAAAAACGAGAAAGGAGAAGGGTAGAAATCTGTTAAATGGTTAACAAAAAATGAACGATGTCGTGGTAACTAAGATGTTTGTAAGTCCAAAAGAACGACAATTAGATAGGTTGGCTTTTCGTTCAATATTCTAGTCATTCTTCTACTCCAAAGATAGGTTTAAAACATTTATGAAAGGTCATGAACTTAAATAACTTCGATTAGATGTAAGAAAATTTATCTTGGCCATTGCTATCGTCCCACGTGCTTTCTTGTTTCCTAGCCGATCTAACTGATCAGCTGCTTCCAAGACTAGCAATCTCGTTCCCTCAAGTTTCACGCGACACTGACACAAACATAGTCATTCTCTCAAAAATTGTTATAGATTTTGGGGGCAATCATGTGGCTACTATATCCAAATACTAGCATTGTTTGAAAGGAAGGAATCCTGCTCAGTGTCACGGTCCTACATTTTTTACCATGTGGCATCGTGATCTTGACACGCTCACGACTAGCCTTAAGGGGAATCAAGCCCCATATATATTTTTCGCCCCGACTTTGTGGCTTCGTCGGACCTTAGGCGAAGTTTGTCTTCGCCAATCCAATATCGCTTGTGCAGAATCCAAGTCAACTTGTCTTGACATTTCTTTTGTCATATAGTACAACTGACCAAGTAAAGAGTCAGGTGCATTTTGTCATATAGCACAACTGACTATCGCTTGGGCCGTTACAAAGGTAATAAATGATTCAGTATGTAGATTAGTATAGAGAATTTAATTTTGTATTGTTTTTCGCCTTAATTTTTTTTTATATAAATGAAATAGGCAAGTTTAAGGTTGATTTGATTATAAAGTATCAATTCCACATTAAATGTTCATGTTCATTATATGTGACCGAAAAATTTAGGTCAAAATTGTTTTGTACATACGTTGTTATTTTGTGAGGATGCTTCACAAGAATGGGCTCTGTTTGTTCCATTTTTCTTTTTCCTAGATTGGGAGGTGGGCAAAACAGTATATTTCATCAACCAGTGGAGGTAAAGTAGATGGAAATCCCAAAATGTTTGCACTTATTGATTGGCTACGCCTGCATATTCCTTCAGAAGAGTCGTCAGGTGTCACAACTGGCTTAGTTCATGGAGATTTTCGAATAGATAATCTTATATCTCATCCCACTGAGGTTTGCTTGTTCATCCAAAATGATTATTTGCTGATCTTGAAAGATTATAGTTGAAATTGAGATATAGATATAAAGGATACTTGCTCATTGCCTCTTCCTTTGAAAGTGCAGGACCGAGTAATTGGCATTCTTGATTGGGAGCTATCCAGTCTGGGAAATCAAATGTGTGATGTTGCTTATGTCTGTCTGGTATGTACCACAAGGTTTTTAAGCAATATAACTTGATCAAATGTGTGATGTTGCTTATGTCTGTCTGGTATGTACCACAAGGTTTTTAAGCAATATAACTTGTAACGTTAGTATGCTATCAAGTATTGAAGCTGTACTTCTTTCCTCTCTTTTTCAGGCTTACATCCTGAACTTTCATTCTGACCGTCCAAATATAGGACAGGGTTTTAACAATATTGGAACTTCAGAAGGGATTCCTTCTTTAGCAGAATATTTGGCTCATTACTGTGTCGTCGGTGTAAGTAGCTATTGTCAACATTGTATAATCAAGTGTTTGCGTTTTACATCAGTCTTGCAAATTTTTTCCTTCTATGAGGGTGTAACCAAATTTGTTTCATACTTGTCGTCCACCATGTGAATGATCATTGACATGTTTCATCATCTTGTAGTTCAAGGATTTGGTTCTCAACATTGGTTCTCAACATCATCTTGTAGAACATAACCAAGGCTATTTCATAAAGTGCTTTTCCATTTCAACAGCTTCAAACTCGATTGTACAAGTTAATTCACAAGATACTAGGAAGGAGAATGAAGGATGGGCCAACAGCTTCAAACTCGATTGTACAAGTTAATTCACAAGATACTAGGAAGGAGAATGAAGGATGGGCCATTCTCAAAGATGAGGGAAAGTTTGTCCCCAGTAAAAAGGTCATGGAGTTGAGAAACAAGTTGATTAAGTTCATGGAAGATCATATATACCCTATGGAAAATGAATTTTTCAAACTTGCTCAATCTTCCAAACGTTGGACCATTCCCCCAGAGGAAGAGAAACTGAAGGAGATGGCTAAGAAAGAAGGCTTGTGGAACTTGTGGATACCTGTTTGTATTATGGCTTCTCTCATTTGATCATATATGCGCTCATATTGTTCTTTTTAAGACGAGTATAAGAAATAAGCTGTTTCGTGCAGTTTGATGGTGCTGCAAGAGCAAGGAAACTGCTTTTTGATGGAAGTAGCCACATCCTTTCTGCTGGTGCAGACAACCTTCTTCTTGGTGCTGGCCTCTCCAATGTTGAATATGGATATCTATGTGAGATAATGGGTCGGTCTATTTGGGCTCCTCAGGTGTTTAACTGTGGTGCACCTGACACTGGAAATATGGAGGTAAGATCAGTTTAGCTTTCAGTAAAATGGAGTATATTGACACTAGATGTCTGAATTTGTATAAACTTCATTCACCATTCACAAACAAGTTCATTAACCGAGTTAAAACCAGAACAATATTTTTTTTCTTTAGTATCGTGGAACTAGAATGGTGAATGATTGCCTACCTTACCAGCGTTAATGAAGTATCACATGCGCTTATGGTTGTTTCCTTTATCATTTTCTTACCGCCCAAGTCCACCGCTAGCAAATATTATTCTCTTTGGGCTCTTTGGGCTTTTCCTTCCAGGCTTCCTCATGGTTTTAAAATGCGTTTGCTAAGAAGAAATTTCCACACCCTTATAAAGAATGAAGAATGTTTCATTCTCATCTCCAACCGATGTGGGATCTCACAATCCACCCCCTTTGCGTCCTCGCTGGCACTTGTTCTCTTCTCCAATCGATATGGGACCCCCAATCCACTCTCCATTCGGGGCTTAACCTCCTTATGAGATCCCACATCGGTTGGAGAGGAGAATAAAACGAGGGAAAGCCTAGAAGGGAAAGTCCAAAAAGGATAATATTACTAGCCGTGGATTTGGGCCGTTACACCTATATTTTCACTATTAACACAAGTGTCCTGACGTCCTTGGAGTAGCTTGCCTACCGCAACTCGGTTGACTTTCCTCTGGTTCTGTATTTCATTTCAGGGTAGGCTTGGCCCAGGGAGGCTGCTCCATTGCATGCGATTGGTAGGAGCTGCAGAACGAGGCATACGGATGGCAGTTCAGAGGGCTCTTAGTAGAAGAGTGTTTGGAAAGTTGATCGCTGAGAAGGGTTCCTTCCTTTCAAACAATGTTAGCCACATGATTGCCCCCAAAAGATTGAGAGAATGACTATGTTTGTGTGAGTGTCGCGTGTAACTTGAGAGAACGAGATTGCTAGTCTTGGAAGCAGCTGATCAGTTAGATCGGCTAGAAAATAAGAAAGCACATGGGACGATTGCAATGAAACTTGGCACAGGTTGCAGCTCCCAATATGGCATTGCATATTCTGGGCATGGCAATGCAAGTTCATGGTGCAGGTGGCTTATCTTCTGACACTGTTCTTGCTCATCTTTGGGCTGCTGCAAGAACCTTAAGAATAGCAGATGGCCCTGATGAAGTTCATTTTGGAACCATCGCCAAGCTGGAGCTTCGGAGAGCTAAGCTTTGAAAATTGAAAGGAAAAATCTCTCGAACCAAATGAGATATTAGGAACCGATAAAATCGATTATCGTCTCAATGTTTCTACAGAAATTGATATCTTGACATTTCTATCGACAATCAAAACCTTACTCAAAAACTTATTGTTATTTTTCTTATATCAAATATTAAAGTTAACTTTTATTTTGGAGAAGTAAAAGCATCAATTTTTTTAGTTCTAAACTGGTTAAGCTCAACTTAGTTTTATATTATTAACGACTTTTGACGCCTGAGTAGTTTATGGGACAATTAAAGAAAAATGAGTAGTTTTGTTTTTTACAAGTAAAAGTTAAAGGTCCCATTATCAATCCTAAACAAGTAAATGTTAATGTTCATTTTTGTTGGATCTTTACGCTTCAAAACCTTCAGATTTATTTAGTAATAAGTTGTCTTTTTATGCATCACAAATTTATCCGAGTTAATGAACTTCTACTCAATAACAAATAATTACTCATAATAAGAAAAAAAAACTTAATTTAAATGTTTAGCATAATCAACGAAGATTTTGAACACAAAATTAGCAAAAATTAACTAAATTAAGCCTAAGTTTAGCAAAAAAACAGCTAAATTCAGATACTAAAATTTTATTTAAGAAAGAAAAAAAAAAGTAAAAATGATTGGTTCAGAATGCTCCGAACTCTAACAATATTTACTTCAATTTAGAAATTCTTCTCATATAAAAACAGGTCATTTGTTGAACAGAAAGGAATTAAGGCAACAACTTCCCATCTTCTATTACCCAAGAAAACAAAACAAAAAAAAAAATAATAAAAAAACAGCTTTGAGATTTGTAGCGAAGAAACATGGCGTATGATAGCGGTGGATGCAAGATCAATAAGGCTGCCCTAGTTGGGTTGTTGTCTCTGTTTTTTGTTGCCTTGGTTAATGGTGTAAGTGGCGTAGGAGAGGACCATGGCTCCTCTAATGCTGCTACCATTAAGACTCTATGTGAGCCCACTACTTATCGAGAAACTTGTGAAAAAGTCCTGGTGAAGTCCAATGTTGACTCAAAAGACCCACGTGAGTTGGTCAAGGCAGGGTTCCATTTTGCTATTGAGCAGCTCAAAGCTGTCATTGCAGATTCCCCCACTTTGAAACAAGCCGCCACCGACCCCATGGCGCAAAAAGCAGTTGATGCTTGCGACGAGCTCATCCACTTTGAAACAAGCCGCCACCGACCCCATGGCGCAAAAAGCAGTTGATGCTTGCGACGAGCTCATGGATTATGCAATTGATGATCTTTTAACTTCCTTTAATAAAATCACCGATAGTTTTAGTTTTCACAAAATGAATGATTATCTTGAAAATCTTAGGATTTGGTTGAGCGCTGCATTGACATATCAAGAAACTTGTTTGGATGGTTTCGAGAATGTTCCTGGCGATACTGGTGAAAAGATGAAGAATTTGTTGAAGACGTCAAAAGAAATGACCGCCAATGGGCTTGTGATGGTGGGTGAGGTTACATCCCTTGTGAGCACTTTGTGGCAGAAGTTGGGACTGCCGCCACAAACGGGGCGGCAACTTCGAACAGAGCATTCCAATGAAGAAAAGGAAGAGCCATCTTGGGTGAGCGACAGACGAGGGCTACTCGAGGCCACTGGAGCTAACATCAAAGCGAATGTGGTGGTGGCTAAAGATGGAAGTGGAAAGTACAAGACAATAACTGAAGCCCTTAAAGAGGTACCATTGAAGAGCAATACAACCTTTGTGATTTATGTGAAGGAAGGAGTTTATGAAGAGCAAGTGATGGTGGACAAAAAAATGACCTATGTCATGGTGATTGGAGACGGCCCGACTAAGACCAAGATCACAGCTAGCAAGAATGTCGTTGATGGAACACCCACATTCAAAAGTGCTACCTTTGGTAAGTTATCATCTAGTTTATAATCATATTCATACGAATTCAATAACTGAATTTAACATGATTTCATATTCTTAACAGCGGCGATCGGATCCAATTTCATTGGAAAAGACTTGTGGTTCGATAACTCAGCTGGCCTTCACAAAGGCCAGGCCGTGGCACTCCGAGTTCAATCCGACATGTCAATCTTCTACAATTGTAGAATGGACGGCTATCAAGATACTCTCTACCCCCATGCCAATCGTCAATTCTACCGAGATTGCACAATCTCCGGTACCGTTGATTTCATCTTTGGCAATGCTGCTGCCGTGTTACAAAACTGTAAGATCTTAGTGAGGAAGCCAAAGCCGAATCAAGCATGCTTTGTCACTGCCCAAGGTCGAATGGAGAGTGATGAGCCCACTGGTATCGTCCTCCAAAATTGCACTATCTCTTCCGACCCTGAATTCTACCCCATTCGCCATACCAGTAAGTCCTACCTTGGTCGCCCATGGAAGAAGTATTCAAGAACCGTAATCATGCAATGCCAAATCGATGATTTGATCCATCCTGATGGTTGGATGCGATGGAGTGATGATTCTACTCTCAACACTTTGTATTACACGGAGTTCGATAACAGAGGACCTGGTGCGGCAAAAGAAAATAGAGTTAAGTGGAAGGGAATTAAACAGATCACAGCAACACAGGCCATCAATTTCACCCCTTCGTTGTTTATTCATGGTGATTCTTGGATCAAGAGCAGCGGAATACCGTACACTGGTGGCATGATGAAAATCTAAAACCAAGAGAATAGAGCTCCTAGAATTCATGAGTTGAAGCTTTTTGACTGTTATTTCGTACTTTGGACATGACAATGGTCTAAAACTAAGGGATAGGACCAAATTATATTTAAGAACATTGATTTGACTCAATAGAGATCACAATGATTTAATATTTGTAGTTTAAAATATGTAATTTTCTTTTAATAAATTTTTTTGGTTGGAGAGAATAAATCAATACTCGGGGATCCTTTCCCTGAACCCATACATGTTTTTGTGAGTCTTACCCATATTTTTCCGTCGCGTCGTGCATTTCGTGTCATTGCCCTTTGTCCCGCTTTGATTTGTCTAGATGTGATCCTTCAATTTGTCTAAATGTGATCCAAGCGGGTTCAAGTGCTTGAATAGCGTATTTACTGAAGCAAATACGATTGCCTCTTTCATTCTTTCTTTACGAAATTTGGTTCTTTGAGTTGTAGTGGATGGTTATTTGCCAAACTAAATTCTATGATCAAATCAATTTAAAAATTGCCTACGCCTTATCGGCTTGCAAATGATATGTTAGCTTGCAAATGAACGGTGTCTAACCGTTAAAACCAGATTTAGATTTTTTTCTGTAGTATCGTGATACTAGAATGGTGAATGATTGCCTACGCCTTATCGGCGTCGATGAAGTCTCACATGCGCTTATGGTTGTTTCCTATCATTTTCTTACCGTCCAAGTCCACAGCTACCTTACAAGAGCAGTTGTAAGATGAGGTTTTATCAAGCTAAGTATGTCGCCATGGGGCCCAATTTGTCAAGAAGAAAGACGGGCCTCGCATTGATGATATTTTCAAAGTTCATTCTCTAGAAATTGCAATCTGCCCAATACTCTTTGTCAAGAAAAAAGGTTTTATCAGCCTAAGTGGGTCGCCATGGGGGGCCAATACTCTTTGTCAAGAAGAAAGATGGGCATCGCATTGATGATTTATTACGCATCGATATTTTCAAAGATTTGACTTGCCGAGTTACCATAACTAGTTCATTCTCTAGAAATTGCAATCCAACTGTATTTTTCTTAGTGAACAGCTGACTTTAAATTACGATACTAAAGATTTAAGGCAATATAAAGAATCCAAATTACCAAAAAATAATCTTTTAATTAAAAATCTTAAAATCAACCACAGATTGATAATTTTAAACAAAAATGCCCACAAAATCTATTCCCTACATTTTTAGATTGTCATCAACCCACCACTGTACGGAATTCCGGTCTGTTTGACCCACCGATTACCACCAATAAACAATGCAGGGGCAAATTTAACGGCGTGGTCCGCTGTAATTTGTTTAATTCCCCTCCACGTCACCCGATTTTGTGTTGCTGCACCAGGTCCTCTGTTATCGAACTCTGCATAAAACAAAGTCTTGAGAGCAAAAGTGCCCTCCCATGCAAGCCACCCTTCAGGCTGGATCAAATCGTCGATTTGGCATTGCATCACCACAGTTCTAGAATACTGCTTCCATGGGCGACCAAGGAAGGACTTAATGGTATGGCGAACAGGGTAGTAGTCAGGGTCGGAAGAGATTTGGCAGTTTTGGAGGATAATGCCGGTGGGTTCTTTTCTCTGGGTTCGGCCTTGGGCGGTGACAAGGCATGTTTGACCCTTCATTGGCTTCCTCACGAATATCTTACAGTTCTGTAACACAACAGCAGCATTGCCAAAGATGAAATCAACGGTACCAGTGATGGTGCAATCTCGAAAGAATTGACGATGTGCATGGGTGTAGAGAGTATCCTGATAGCCGTCCATTCTACAATTGTAGAAGATTGACATGTCAGATTGAACTCGAAGTGCCACAGCTTGGTGTTTCTCAGGTCCAGCTGAGTTCTCGAACCACAAGTCTTTTCCGATGAAGTTGGTTCCGACCGCCGCTGTCAAGAATATGAAATCATGTTAAACTCACTTACTGAATTCGTATGAATATAAACTAGATGGTAACTTACCAAAGGTAGCACTTTTAAATGTGGGTGTTCCATCAACGACATTCTTGCTAGCTGTGATCTTGGTCTTAGTCGGGCCGTCTCCAATCATCATGACATAGGTCATTGTTTTGTCCACCATCACTTGCTCTTCATAAACTCCTTCCTTCACATAAATCACAAAGGTTGTATTGCTCTTCTTTGGGACCTCTTGAAGGGCTTCAGTTATTGTCTTGTACTTTCCACTTCCGTCTTTAGCCACCACCACATCCGCCTTGATGTTAGCTCCAGTGGCTTCGAGTAGCCCTCGCCTGTCATTGACCCAAGATGGCTCTTCGTCTTGGAATTCTTCACTGGATTCTTCTGTTTGGAGTTGTCGCCCCTTTGAAAGTCCTAGCGCCTGCCACAAAGAGCTCACAAGAGATGTAATCTCACCCACCATCACAAGCCCATTGGCGGTCATTTCTTTTGATGTCTTCAACAAATTCTTCATCTTTTCACCCGTATCGCCAGAAACATTCTCAAAACCATCCAAACAAGTTTCTTGATATGTCAATGCACCGCTCAACCAAATCCTAATGTTCCCAAGATAATTATTTATTTGGTGTACACTAAAACTATTAGCCATTTTATCAAACGTAACTAAAAGATCATCAATTGCATAATCCATTAACTCGTCGCAAGTATCAACTGCTTTTTGCGCCATGGGGTCAGTAGCGGCTGCTCTCACAGTGGGGGAATTTTGCAGGGCCACTTTGAGTTGCTCAATGGCAAAATGGAATCCTGCCTTGATTAACTCACGTGGGTCCTTTGAGTCAACATTAGACTTTACCAGGGCTTCTTCACAAGTTTCACGGTAAGTAGTGGGCTCACATAGAGTCTTAATGGCAGCATTAGAGGAGCCATGGTCCTCTCCCGCGCCATTTACACCATTAACCAAGGCAACCAAAAACAGAGACAACAACCCAACCAGGGCAGCCTTATTGCCATCATACGCCATGTTTCTACAAATCTCAAACTGTTTTTCCTTTTTTTTTTTTTTTTTTTTTTCCGTTCAACAAATGGACTGTTTTTATATGCTAATTTTTAACTGAATTCCTAAATTAATGTTAATATAGTTAAGAGTTGTTGCATTCTCAACCAATAGCAACTTTTTCTTATCTAAATTTTTAATTCAGTAAATTAATTCATTTTTTCTGAATAATTATTAGTTATTAGATAATATTAACATAAAAATTGGTGATTTGTTTTCTTAATTAAGATAAAAATACAACTGGTTATTAAACAAATCGTATTACTCTTTTATAATATTGTAAAATATTTATGAGATATTTAAATATATATAGGCTAAATTAGGGATGATATTTTTTAAGATTTAATTTATTGTAATATCAATTATGGTTAATATATTTAATTTCATTTTAGCCTATTGTATTTTTCATAAATCTTAAAATTAGGTTAATTTCTCCGTAAAAAAAGATAATTTCTATTAATATATTTTCTATAAATTATGAAAATATAATCATATTAGGCATCTTTATTGCTATTTAACTTATTTTAATAAACATTAACTTCAAATTAATAATAGAGTCTGATTTTATGAATTATTTAAAAATTTAACATTTGAAGCATAATAAATATAAGGTGTATTTTTAGTTTAATTAAAGAAACAGATCACCAATTTTTCAAATCAAATCAATTTTTATATTAATTTCATCTGAGTTAATTAACTTCTATTAAATAACTAATAATTACTCACAAAAAAAAAAAAATATTAATTTCATCTGAGTTAATTAACTTCTATTAAATAACTAATAATTACTCACAAAAAAAAAAAAAACTTAATTAATTATTTAGCATAACACTTAAGATTTTGAACACAAAATTCGCAAAAATTAATTAAATTTCATCTTAATTTTAGAAATAATCGCTAAATTTAGGAACAAAAAAAAAACGCAAAAATTAATTAAATTTCATCTTAATTTTAGAAATAATCGCTAAATTTAGGAACAAAAAAAAAATTATAATTTCATTTAATATATATATATAAAAAAAATAAAAAAATAAAAGTAAAAATTACTGGTCCAGAATACTCCAACTCTTAACTATATTAACATTAATTTGGGAATTCAGTTAAAATCTTTGCATATAGAAAGAGTCCATTTGTTGAACAGAATAAATCAAGTCAGCTAACTTCCCATTTTCATTTACCCAACAAAACAAAAATAAACGAAAAAACAGAATAAATCAAGTCAGCTAACTTCCCATTTTCATTTACCCAACAAAACAAAAATAAACGAAAAAAGAAAAAGAAAAAACAGCTTCAAAATTGTAGCGGAGAAACATGGCATATGATGGCGGTGGAGGCAAGATCGTGAATAAGGTTGCTGCCCTGGTTGGGTTGTCATCTCTGTTAGTAGTTGCGATGCTTAATGGTGTCAATGGCGCGGAAGATCACTCTGAGAGCTCTAGCACCATTAAGACTCTTTGTGAACCCACTGATTATCGCCAGACTTGCGAGGAAGCCTTGGTGAAGTCCAAAACCGACTCACAAGACCCACGTGAGCTAATCAAGGCAGGCTTCCATTACGTAGTTGAGCAGATCAAATCCGCCATTAAAAAATCCACAACCCTGAAAGAAACTGCCAATGACCCCATGGCCAAGAAGGCGCTTGACGATTGCAGCGAACTCATGGATTACGCCATTGACGATCTTCTATTGTCCTTTGATAAAATCACTGAGACTTTTGAGCGAACTCATGGATTACGCCATTGACGATCTTCTATTGTCCTTTGATAAAATCACTGAGACTTTTGATTTTAGTAAAATGGATGATTACATTGAAGATCTTAGGATTTGGTTGAGTGGTGCATTGACGTATCAGGTAACTTGCTTGGATGGGTTTGAGAATGTAACGGGAGATACCGGTGAGAAGATGAAGCACTTGTTGAAGTTGTCACAAGAAATGACCGCCAATGCACTTGAGATGGTGGGTGAAGTTAAATCCGTTGTGAGCTCCTTGTGGGAAGGGTTGGGGCTGCCACCCTTGGGACGAGAACTACGAACAGCGGAATCCAAGGAAGAGGAGGAAGTGCCATCTTGGGTCAACGACAGACGGGGGCTACTCCAAGCCAAAGGAGCCAATGTCAAGGCGGATGTGGTGGTGGCTAAAGACGGAAGTGGAAAGTACAAGACAATAACTCAAGCCCTTCAAGATGTCCCAAAGAAAAGTAATAAGACCTTTGTCATTTATATCAAGGAAGGAGTTTATGAAGAGCAAGTAATGGTCGACAAAAAGATGACCTATGTCATGATGATCGGAGATGGCCCGACTAAGACCAAGATCACTGCTAGAGAAAACTTTGTTGATGGAACATCTACATTCAAAACTGCTACCGTTTGTAAGTTTTCTATGATCATGTTCATACAAATTCAGTTTATGATCATATTCATACAAATTTAGATTCAACAAGCGAATTTAACATGATTTCATATTCTTAACAGCGGTGATTGGAACCAACTTCATCGGAAAAGATTTGTGGTTCGAGAACTCAGCTGGCCCTGCAAAGCACCAAGCTGTTGCACTACGAGTTCAATCCGACATGTCAATTTTCTATAACTGTCGAATGGACGGCTATCAAGATACTCTCTACACTCATGCCCACCGTCAGTTCTATCGAGACTGCACCATCACTGGCACCATCGACTTCATTTTTGGCAACGCCGCCGTCGTGTTCCAAAATTGTAAGATCTTCGTGAGGAAGCCATTGGAAAATCAAAAATGCATTGTCACAGCCCAAGGCCGAACCCAAAAGAAAGAGCCCACTGCTATTATCCTCCAGAACTGCGTCATCTCTTCCGACCCCGACTACTTCCCTGTCCGCCATATCAACAAGGCCTATCTTGGTCGTCCATGGAAAGCATATTCAAGAACTATCATCATGGAATCTCAAATTGACGACTTGATCCAACCTGAAGGGTGGCTTCCATGGATGGGAAATTTTGCTCTCAACACTCTATTTTACTCGGAGTTCAATAATAGGGGACCTGGTGCATCAACGAAAGATCGAGTCAAGTGGAAGGGAATTAAACAGATCACAGCGAAGCATGCCCTTGATTTTACTCCTGCATTATTTATTCGTGGTAATCCCTGGATTAAGCCCACCGGAGTTCCATATAGTTCAGGCATGATGAACCCCTAGTATAAAACAAAGAGAGGAATAGAGTTATTTCTCCATTTATATTTAGAATGATTGAGTATACGAATTTTGAATAAAAAGATTTTCCCCTCTCATTTATGAGGTTTCTCAACATTTTTGTTTTGATCCTTTCTTAATATGAATTAAAGTACAAATCATACTAATAATTACTCCCAACAATCAAAAACATAATTTAATTGTTTAGCACAATAAAAGATGATTTAAACACAAAATTCATAATTAATTGTTTAGCACAATCAATGATTTGAACACAAAATTCAATAGAAATTTATAGAAATTTTTGAAAATAAAATTTTGAATTAAAAAAAGTTAGAATGTTATTCAAACGGTGACTGGTGTCTAATTATCGGTTCTTTTAGACCTAATTCAGACCAACACCTAATTCTCTATTTGTTAATTAATAATAAATGAAAAAAAATATCAGTATTAATTATAACTTGAATTTCTATCCAATTAATTTATATTTTCCATTTAAAAATATAATTTGACATTTATAATTGTCAAGAGATTAGCTTCCAACCTAACAATGCAGATGAAAACATTAACATAAATTAGACATTTATAATTATCGTTTTTTTTTTTTTAAATTACTTATCGAGATAGAATTATATGATAATTTTTTAACTACTTTACCACAGTAATAACTAGAAATCACTAATTAATTTATAAAAATATTAATTTGAAACTTTTTAAAAATATATTTAAAGATTGAACTTATGTAACACCAATTTTAATTTTATTTTAGTCTTTATATTTTTAATGTATTTCTCTTTTATTAATATTTTTCTATAAATTATAAAAATATGTTCCTATTTAACCAATTTTAATTAAGATTAAATTCAAATTAATAAAAGAGTCTGATATTTAGGATTATTTAAAAATTGAATATTTGAAGCAAGGCATATTGTTAGCTTAATTAAAGAAATAAATCACCAATTTTTCAACTCAATTAATTTTTATATTAATTTCATCTGAGTTAATTAACTTCTACTAAAAACTAATAAACTTAATTTAATTAATTAGCATAATCACGGATGATTTTGAACACAAAATTCTCCTAAATTAATTAATTAATTAAATAAATCTTTAATCTTAATTTTTTAAAAGAATAAATACCCAGCTAAATTTATATAAGAAAAGGTCAAATTTTATTTAAAGAAAAATTAAAAAGCGGATTACTGGTCGGGAATGGTTCAATCATTTTCACATATAAAAACAGGCCATTGCTTGAACAGAAGAAATCAAAGCAGTCCTACAAGAACAAAGCAAAAGAGCTTGAAAATTTGTGGCCAAGAAACATGGCATGCAACAAGAAAGCTGCTCTGGTCGGCTTGTTATATCTGGTCCTAGTTGCCATGGTTAATGTTGTGAGTGGCTCGGAAGAGGAGTCTACCTCTCAGAAAGAGATTAAGACTCTGTGTGAACCCACTGATTATCGTGAAACTTGCGAGCAAGCCTTGGTGAATTCGCATACCGACTCAGAAGACCCACGTGAGTTAATGAAGGCAGGATTCCATGCTGCTATTGAGCATCTCAAATCGGTCATTGGAAATTCCACCACTATGAAAGAAGCTGCCTCTGACCCTTTGGTGAAGAAGGCACTTGATGATTGCAACGAGCTCATGGATTACGCAATTGATGATCTTTTATTATCGTTTGATAAAATTACCGATAATTTTGATTACAATAAAATGAATGATTATACTGAGAATCTTAAGATTTGGTTGAGTGGTGCATTGACGTATCAAGAAACATGTTTGGACGGGTTTGAGAATGTTACCGGTGATACTGGTGAAAAGATGCAGAATTTGTTGAAGATATCGAAGGAAATGACCGCTAATGGGATTGGGATGGTGGGTGAGCTTACATCCATTGTCACCTCTCTTTGGGAAGGGTTGGGGCTGCCATCGATAGGGCTAGGGCGAGTTCTCAAAGAAGAGGAAGAGCCATCTTGGGTCAATGACAGACGGGGGCTTCTCCAATCTACTGGGGTCAACATCAAAGCGAATGTGGTAGTGGCTAAAGATGGAAGTGGAAAGTACAAGACAATAACCGAAGCCCTTCAAGAGGTCCCAAAGAAGAGCAATACAACCTTTATCATTTATATCAAGGAAGGAGTTTACGAAGAGCAAGTAATGGTCGACAAAAAAATGACCTATGTCATGATGATTGGAGATGGCCCGACTAAGACCAAGATCACTGCTAGAGAAAACTTTGTTGATGGAACATCCACATTCAAAACTGCTACCGTTTGTAAGTTTCCTTTAATCATATTCATACAAATTCAGTTTATAATCATATTTATACAAATTCAACCGGCGAATTTAACATGATTTCATATTCTTAACAGCGGTGATTGGAACCAACTTCATCGGAAAAGACTTGTGGTTCGAGAACTCAGCTGGGGCTGCAAAGCATCAAGCTGTTGCACTCCGAGTTCAATCTGACATGTCAATCTTCTATAACTGTCGAATGGACGGCTATCAAGATACTCTCTACACTCATGCCCACCGTCAGTTCTATCGAGACTGCACCATCACAGGTACCATCGACTTCATCTTTGGCAATGCTGCTGTCGTGTTCCAAAATTGTAAGATCTTCGTGAGGAAACCAATGGACAATCAGAAATGCATTGTCACCGCCCAAGGTCGAACCGAGAAGAAAGAGCCTACCGGTATAATCCTCCAAAACTGCGTCATCTCTTCCGACCCTGACTACTTCCCCGTCCGCCATACCAACAAGGCCTACCTTGGCCGCCCATGGAAGCAATATTCAAGAACCATTATCATGCAATCCCAAATCGATGACTTGATCCAGCCCGAAGGATGGCTTCCATGGACAGGCGATTTTGCTCTCAATACTCTATTTTACTCCGAGTTCGAAAATAGAGGACCCGGTGCAGCAACCCAAAATCGGGTCAAGTGGAGGGGAGTTAAACAAATCACAGCAAAGCACGCCCTTGATTTCACTCCTGGATTGTTTATTCGTGGTAATCCTTGGATCAAGCACACTGGAGTACCGTACACTTCCGGCATGATGGCAGTATAAATCTACATAGAGAGAAGTTTAAATAATATATAAGATTTAAATATATATTTAATAAGAATGTATTCATTCTTTAACGGCTTCAGAGTATTGTTGTTAGAATGAGATACTTTATCATTTTTGTAAGATATTCTTGAAATTATATAAAAAATTTCATTAAAATATTATTTTTAATAATCCATGAGGTGGTCGACTATTATTTTTACATATATGAGTGATTATAATAATAATATATACATAGATTAAATTAATACTCTTAAATTTTATATTTTATTTTAAAAATATATTTTAGTTTTAGATTTAAAGAATTAATAATTTAATTTTAAAAATTTCATCCATACAACTATATTATATTCAAATATTCAATAAATAGAACTCTTTTAATTAAATATTTTTTTTTAATACAATATTTGCTTAAAAGTTGCTATATTGTTTTAAGTTTTTTAAATAAAAAATAGTTAGAAGGTTGAATAAAAAGTAATTTTAGATATAATTTTAGTCGTTATATTGATTTTTTATTATATACATTTAATTAGATTATACTTCTCTTTTTTTTTCTTTTTTAAAATCATAGTACATTAAAAAAAATTATTAACCCTGACATAAAATATATAGTTTGAATATAGGTTAAAAAGTTGTGATTTTTTTTTTTTTTTTTTTTTTTTTTTTTTTTTTTTTTTTTTTTCACTGAAGTTTTTNATTACTGAAATTTATGAAAAATTTGTATATTTAAATTGACATATTTGATTTATTAACTCTATGGTAAAAAAATCTAATTTATTTTATAACTAGAATGGATGATTTTTCATTTTCTCATATTACGAAATGTCTAAATAAAATGAAGAGACAAAAAAACTAAAAATCACAAGGAAATGTCTAAATACAATTAATTTATAAAAATATTAATTTTAGAATTGTGGCTGTAATTTGAAATTTTATATCATTTTATTCTTTATACTTTTAAATATCCAACTCTATTAAATTTAATAAATATTAAAATTACTTTTAAAAATTGATTTCTCTAGAAACAAAAGACTTTATTAATATTTTTTCTATAAATTATGAAAATAGGGTCATATTCCATCTCTTTGATGCATAAAAATTATTGTTATTAGTTAATAAATTTAAATAAAAATTAACGTCAAATTAATAATAGAATCGGATTCTATGAATTATTTAAAAATTGAACATTTGAAGCATATTAATTATAAGCTGTATTTTTAGGTTAATTAAATGTTTCAACTCAATCAATTTTTATATTAATTTTATATGAGTTAATTAACTTCTACCAAATAACTAATAATTACACAGAAGAAGAGAGAAAACTTAATTTAATTGTTTACCACAATCCACGAAGATTTTGAACATAAAATTCGCAAAAATTAACTAAATTTCATCTTAATTTTAGAAATAAAAGCTAAATTTAGGTAAAAAAAAAATTATAATTTTATTTAAGAAAAAAGAGTAAAAAATTACTTAGTCCAGAATGCTCCAACTCTAACGATATTAACATTAATTTGGGAATTCTATTAAAAATTTTGCATATAAAAAGAGACCATTTGTTGAACCTAAGAAATCAAGTCAGCTACTTCCCATTTTCATTTACCCAAAGAAAAAAAAAATAAAAGAAAAAGAACAGCTTGAAAATTTTAGCGAAGAGACATGGCATATGATGGCGGTGGATGCAAGATCAATAAGGTTGCTGCCCTCGTTGGGTTGTTATCTCTGTTTGTAGTTGCGATGGTTAATGGTGTCCATGGCGCAGAAGAGCACTCTGAGAGCTCTAGCGCCATTAAGACTCTTTGTGAACCCACTGATTATCGCAAGACTTGCGAGGAAGCCTTGGTGAAGTCCAAAACCGACTCACAAGACCCACGTGAGCTAATCAAGGCAGGATTCCATTATGTAGTTGAGCAGATCAAATCCGCCATTAAAAATTCCACAACCCTGAAAGAAACTGCCAATGACCCCATGGCCAAGAAGGCGCTTGACGATTGCAGCGAACTCATGGATTACGCCATTGACGATCTTCTATTGTCCTTTGATAAAATCACTGAGACTTTTGATTTTAGTAAAATGGATGATTACATTGAAGATCTTAGGATTTGGTTGAGTGGTGCATTGACGTATCAGGTAACTTGCTTGGATGGGTTTGAGAATGTAACGGGAGATACTGGTGAGAAGATGAAGCACTTGTTGAAGTTGTCACAAGAAATGACCGCCAATGCACTTGAGATGGTGGGTGAAGTTAAATCCGTTGTGAGCTCCTTGTGGGAAGGCTTGGGGCTGCCACCATTGGGACGAGAACTACGAACAGCGGAATCCAAGGAAGAGGAGGAACTGCCATCTTGGGTCAACGACAGACGGGGGCTACTCCAAGCCAAAGGAGCCAATGTCAAGGCGGATGTGGTGGTGGCTAAAGACGGAAGTGGAAAGTACAAGACAATAACTCAAGCCCTTCAAGATGTCCCAAAGAAAAGCAATAAGACCTTTGTCATTTATATCAAGGAAGGAGTTTATGAAGAGCAAGTAATGGTCGACAAAAAGATGACCTATGTCATGATGATTGGAGATGGCCCGACTAAGACCAAGATCACTGCTAGAGAAAACTTTGTTGATGGAACATCTACATTCAAAACTGCTACCGTTTGTAAGTTTTCTATGATCATGTTCATACAAATTCAGTTTATGATCATATTCATACAAATTTAGATTCAACAAGCGAATTTAACATGATTTCATATTCTTAACAGCGGTGATTGGAACCAACTTCATCGGAAAAGACTTGTGGTTCGAGAACTCGGCTGGGGCTGCAAAGCATCAAGCTGTTGCACTCCGAGTTCAATCTGACATGTCAATCTTCTATAACTGTCGAATGGACGGCTATCAAGATACTCTATACACTCATGCCCACCGTCAGTTCTATCGAGACTGCACCATCACTGGCACCATCGACTTCATTTTTGGCAACGCTGCCGTCGTGTTCCAAAATTGTAAGATCTTCGTGAGGAAGCCATTGGATAATCAAAAATGCATTGTCACAGCCCAAGGCCGAACCCAAAAGAAAGAGCCCACTGCTATTATCCTCCAGAACTGCGTCATCTCTTCCGACCCCGACTACTTCCCTGTCCGCCATATCAACAAGGCCTATCTTGGTCGTCCATGGAAAGCATATTCAAGAACTATCATCATGGAATCTCAAATTGACGACTTGATCCAACCTGAAGGGTGGCTTCCATGGATGGGAAATTTTGCTCTCAACACTCTATTTTACTCGGAGTTCAATAATAGGGGACCTGGTGCATCAACGAAAGATCGAGTCAAGTGGAAGGGAATTAAACAGATCACAGCGAAGCATGCCCTTGATTTTACTCCTGCATTGTTTATTCGTGGTAATCCTTGGATTAAGCCCACCGGAGTTCCATATACTTCAGGCATGATGAACGCCTAATCTGAAACAAAGAAAGGAAGAGAGTTGTTTCTCCATTGACAGTTAGAATGATTGAGCATAAGTGAGTTGTTTCTCCATGATTGAGCATATGAATTTTGAATAAAAAGATTTTTGCCTCTAATTTATGAGTTTGTCACATTTTTGTTTTGATTCGTTCTCTCTTCTTGATATGACTTTGTGTCAAAGCTTTTAGATAATATTGTTCCCTACTTTAGTGACCCCATTACCCCCATTAATGGATTTTTTTTAGCCTTAAATGAACACAAGCATAAGGGTTAAACCTCAGTTGGTAGAGCACCTCGTTTGCACGGGTGCCAATGTTTTTCAAGAAGTACATTATGTAATAAAAAGAAGTACATCATGTAATAGAGTAGAAAATCATAACAAGGTTTGTGATGATTTTAAAATCTTTTATACTAAGTAATCTAGTATCCTTATGCATGAAGATAATCAATTTGGTCGTTGTGGTCGGACTCTATTATGGATTTCTGACCACATTCTCCATAGGGCTCTCTTATCTCTTCCTTCTCCGAGCTCCGGTTATGGAAGAAGGAACCGAAAAGAAAGTATCAGCAACAGGTTTTATTACAGGATAGCTCATGATGTTCATATATCTATTATGCGCCTCTGCATCTAGCATTGGGTAGACATCACAGCTCATGATGTTCATATCGATCTATTATGCACCTCTACATCTAGCATTGGGTAGACCTCATACAATAACTGTCCTAGCACAATATCTAATAACTAATAAGTTTTTCTACTCTATTCTATTGATTTTCTATCTTTTACATTCTACTCTATATTTATCTATATTTATTTCATTTTTTTTATTGTAATTCTTTTTTCCATGAAAATTTCATAATCAAAATTGGTAGTAATGGAATTGTATAATCTGCAATGGATCTGGGTTGTTACACATCAATTTGGGGGAAGGAGAAAGAGTGGGCCTCGAAGGGGAGTGGATTATGATGTCTCACATTGGTTGGGGGGAAGGAGAAAGAGTGTACGTTGGGCCTCGAAGGGGAGTGGATTATGATGTCTCACATTGGTTGGGGAGGAGAACAAACCACCATTTATAGAGGGGAAGCCCGAAAGGGAAAGCCCAAAGAGGACAATAAACGTGTTTTAAAGCCTTGAGGGGAAGCCCGAAAGGGAAAGCCCAAAGAGGACAATAAACGCGTTTTAAAGCCTTGAGGGGAAGCCCGAAAGGGAAAGTCCAAAGAGGACAATATCTGGGTCGTTACAAAAAGTTGGACTAATTTGGAAACATTATACCTTCTATAATTTGGAAACATTGTACCTTCTATTTCGATTTTTGGTTTCTAGTCTGATTTTATTAGTAACCATGACTATGCATAGGACTATTAAGGTGAAATGTTATTGATTTTGGGAGGACTATAATGGACAACATACCCACTCACGATCTACTATAAGGAAAGTAGCTTGATTGGTTGAGGATCGGACAAAATCACCATTTATTTTAGATACTTTCTACCCACCGCATTGATAATTCCATCAATTATCAAAAAAATAAGTCTAGATCTCTATTTTATCAAAACAATATTATTTTAGGGTTTAAGATTTAGAATTTAAGTATTTTAGGGTTTAGGGTTTAAAGTTTAGGATTTAGGTATTTTAGGGTTTAGGGTTTAGGGTTTAGGGTTTAAGTATTTTTTGGTTTAGGGTTTAAGGTTTAGGGTTTAGGGTTTAAGTATTTTTTGGTTTAGGGTTTAGGGTTTAGGGTTTAGGGTTTAGGGTTTAAGTATTTTTTGGTTTAGGGTTTAGAGTTCACAAAATATATATATATATATGTTATTATTATTTGTTCCATTATCCCTACCGCTATTGGATTGCACTTTTACTCGATTCGAGAAGGTTATACAAAAGTTTTTATTATTAAACCATCTGAACTATTTATGAGTTTTATATGAACTTTTTTTGTTTTTTTCGAAAACCATAGTGCAAAATTCAGACACTCTTTCAGTTAACGAGACGGTGAAAAAGGGAAATTTAATGGACAGTCCGGCCCAACAAGAACTCGGAAAAGCCCAAACTTTTATAGAAGGCCGAGTCCCGGCCCAACAATTACACTCGAAGAATCCCAAAAGTTCGTAAAAGGACCGAGTTCCGGCCCAACTTGAACTCAGCAAAGCCCAAAAGCTTATATAAGGACAAGAGCCGGCCCAACAATTACACTCGAAAAGCCCAAAAGTATAGAAGACCGAGAGTTCCGGCCCAAATATTGCACTCGGAAAAGCCCAAATGTTTATAAAAAAGCCGAGGAGCGAAAGTTTACAGAGGGAGAAGAGTCCTGGCCCAACAATTAAACTCGAAGAAGCCCAAAGGTTTATAGCAGGCCGAGTGTCAAGGCCCAAAACCTACACTTAAAGAAGCCCAAAAGTTTGTAGAAGGACTAGAGTTCCAGTCCAATATTAACTCGAAGAAGCCCAAATATTTATAGAAGGACTACAGTCCTGGCCAAAAATTAATATTATTATTTAATCAATTTGAATAAAAATTAATGTCAAATTAGTAATAGAATACGATTCTATGAATTATTTAAAAAAATTTAAATAAGAATTTTCAGCATAACTAAAGAAACAAATGGCCATTTTTTCAACTCAATCAATTTTTATATTAATTTCATCTGAGTTAATTAACTTCTACTAAATAACTAATAATTACTCAGAAAAAAAACTTAATTTAATTATTTAGAATAAACACTGAAAATTTAGAACACATCTAAATTTAGGAAAAAACATAATTTTATTTGAGAAAAAATAAAAAATGACTGGTCCAAAATGCTCCAACACTAACTATATTAACTTAAGTTTAGGAGTTCTATTAAAATCTTTACATATAAAAAGAGTCCATTTGTTGAACAAAAGAAATCAAGCAAGCAGCAACTTCCTATTTTCAAATAGCAAGAAAAACAAAAAATAAAATAGAAAGAAAAAACAGCTTCAAAATTGTAGCGGAGAAACATGGCATATGATGGCGGTGGAGGCAAGATCGTGAATAAGGTTGCTGCCCTGGTTGGGTTGTCATCTCTGTTAGTAGTTGCGATGCTTAATGGTGTCAATGGCGCGGAAGATCACTCTGAGAGCTCTAGCACCATTAAGACTCTTTGTGAACCCACTGATTATCGCCAGACTTGCGAGGAAGCCTTGGTGAAGTCCAAAACTGACTCACAAGACCCACGTGAGCTAATCAAGGCAGGATTCCATTACGTAGTTGAGCAGATCAAATCCGCCATTAAAAATTCCACAACCCTGAAAGAAACTGCCAATGACCCCATGGCCAAGAAGGCGCTTGACGATTGCAGCGAACTCATGGATTACGCCATTGACGATCTTCTATTATCCTTTGATAAAATCACTGAAACTTTTGATTTTAGTAAAATGGATGATTACATTGAGGATCTTAGGATTTGGTTGAGTGGTGCATTGACGTATCAGGTAACTTGCTTGGATGGGTTTGAGAATGTAACGGGAGATACCGGTGAGAAGATGAAGCACTTGTTGAAGTTGTCACAAGAAATGACCGCCAATGCACTTGAGATGGTGGGTGAAGTTAAATCTGTTGTGAGCTCCTTGTGGGAAGGGTTGGGGCTGCCACCATTGGGACGAGAACTACGAACAGCGGAATCCAAGGAAGAGGAGGAACTGCCATCTTGGGTCAACGACAGACGGGGGCTACTCCAAGCCAAAGGAGCCAATGTCAAGGCGGATGTGGTGGTGGCTAAAGACGGAAGTGGAAAGTACAAGACAATAACTCAAGCCCTTCAAGATGTCCCAAAGAAAAGCAATAAGACCTTTGTCATTTATATCAAGGAAGGAGTTTATGAAGAGCAAGTAATGGTCGACAAAAAGATGACCTATGTCATGATGATCGGAGATGGCCCGACTAAGACCAAGATCACTGCTAGAGAAAACTTTGTTGATGGAACATCTACATTCAAAACTGCTACCGTTTGTAAGTTTTCTATGATCCTGTTCATACAAATTCAGTTTATGATCATATTCATACAAATTTAGATTCAACAAGCGAATTTAACATGATTTCATATTCTTAACAGCGGTGATTGGAACCAACTTCATCGGAAAAGACTTGTGGTTCGAGAACTCAGCTGGGGCTGCAAAGCATCAAGCTGTTGCACTCCGAGTTCAATCTGACATGTCAATCTTCTATAACTGTCGAATGGACGGCTATCAAGATACTCTATACACTCATGCCCACCGTCAGTTCTATCGAGACTGCACCATCACTGGCACCATCGACTTCATTTTTGGCAACGCCGCCGTCGTGTTCCAAAATTGTAAGATCTTCGTGAGGAAGCCATTGGAAAATCAAAAATGCATTGTCACAGCCCAAGGCCGAACCCAAAAGAAAGAGCCCACTGCTATTATCCTCCAGAACTGCGTCATCTCTTCCGACCCCGACTACTTCCCTGTCCGCCATATCAACAAGGCCTATCTTGGTCGTCCATGGAAAGCATATTCAAGAACTATCATCATGGAATCTCAAATTGACGACTTGATCCAACCTGAAGGGTGGCTTCCATGGATGGGAAATTTTGCTCTCAACACTCTATTTTACTCGGAGTTCAATAATAGGGGACCTGGTGCATCAACGAAAGATCGAGTCAAGTGGAAGGGAATTAAACAGATCACAGCGAAGCATGCCCTTGATTTTACTCCTGCATTGTTTATTCGTGGTAATCCCTGGATTAAGCCCACCGGAGTTCCATATAGTTCAGGCATGATGAAACCCTAATCTAAAGCAAAGAGAGGAAGAGAGTTGTTTCTCCATTTATATTTAGAAAGATTGAGCATATGAATTTTGAATAAAAGGATTATTCCCTCAAATTTACAAGTTTCTCACCATTTTGTTTTATCGGTTCCTCTTCTCATCTTCCTCTTCTGGTTCCTCTGCTCACTCCCAATAATCTTTAATATCCCTTTGTTTTAATTTTACCCCTTCGAAGCATTATTTTTCAATAAATTTTTATCTGCTTTATTCTAAATTTAACCCATTTTTTAATTAATTTTTTTATAGGAATTCGAATATGTTTAAATATTAATTGAATAATGAGGAAATTAGAGTAAAAGTTGGAATTTTTTAAAAAAGAATCTCACATTTGTTTTATCAAAGTACCGATTTTATTATTCAATAATGGAAATTTAAAAACTTCTGAAAATATTTAAATTTGTAAGCCCAAAATTTTTTAGAGGACTGAGATTCGAAAAAGCTCAAAAGTTTATAAAAGGCCGATAGTTCGGGCCCAAACCATTTCGAAGCCCCAAAATTTGTAGACTAGGGTCTCGAGAGTCTGGCCCAACTTGTAATCGGAAAAGCCCAAACTTTTATAGAAGGCCCAGAGTCCCAGCCCAGGAATTGCGAAGCCCAAACGTTTGTAGGACTAGAGTCCTGAGAGTCCGGCCCAACTTGAACTCGGAAAAGCCCAAAAGTTTATAGAAGGCCGAGAGTTACACTCGGAAAAGCCCAAAAGTTTATAGCAGGCCGAGAGTACCGGCCCAAGAGGAAAGCCCAATAGTACCTGGCCCAAACATTGCAAAGCCGAAAATTTATAGAAGGCCGAGAGTCCCGGCCCAACGATTGCACTCGTAAATCCCAAAAGTTTTATAGAAGGCCGAGTGTTACGGCCCAACAATTACACTCGGAAAGGCCCAAAAGTTTATGGAAGGCCGAGAGTGGCAGGTTAACAAACACACGAAAAGCCCAAAATCTTTACCGCATCATTTCCATCGGCTTTGTTTGCGAGCGAGCGGGAAAGCGACCAACAGAACAAATTTGAATCTTGTTCAGTCCCAAATCGGCAGAGCAACAGGAAACTAAGAACAGTACTGGGCAATTGATTAGCTTTCTTCGTCTTCTCTTCATTTCGAGCGCTATTTTCAGGTAAATTTTCCATTACAACGACGGACGAAGTGTTCTTCCAAAGGCTGTCAGATTTTTCTTCCGTCAAATTGCAATCCCTAGGACTCCATTTGAAGTTACAGCACCAACATAGCAAAGCGGCGTTTCAATTTTGGATCTCAAGATGACTAGTAAATCCGGCGGTGGTGGAGAGGCTGCTTTCCACTTGCTGCAGCCGGAGCGTGACCTTCGGTTGAATTGGGAAGTGGACCTCGCCGAGAAGCTCGAAAGCTATCTGTTGCAGATTTGCTCCGGTGAGTTTCAGTCCGGCGAAGATGAGAACCACGTTTCTGTCAATTTTGCTGAAGGTCAGCGTCCTCTTACTGTCTTAGGTCATTGATGTTTTGAATTGTGAAAGATTGGATGTTTCTGACTGTTGTTTTCGAATTTTTTCTGGAGGGTGTAGCTGCTTTGCTTCTGCAAGGTTCGATTCAAGTGTATAGTCGTAAGGTTGAATACCTTTACTCGTTAGTTTTGCGAGTTTTGGAGTTCCTTTCTGAAAAAAGGTTTGATTGTTGTATTCAATTTAGCTTTTTAAATAGTGCTCGATATGTGGATATTAGAAATCTGGCACCTAATTGTATAAATTCTCATGGTTTGAGTAGGACGTAAAATTTAGATTACATTGCCAGTTGCCAGTGAAACGCGGTTGGAGAATGGGAACAAATCATTTTTTTTTATAAGGGTGTGGAAATCAATCCCTAGGATATGTATTTTAAAATCGTGAGGCTGACATCGATACGTAACGTGTCAAAGCCGACAGTATCTACTAGCAGTAGATTTGGGGCTTATGTTGTTATAAATGGTATCAAAGTCATACATTAAGTGGTGTGCCAATAAGGATGTTGGGTCTCCAAAGGAGGTGGATTGTGAGATCCCACATCGGTTGAAGAGGAGAATGAAGCATTCTTTATAAGGGTGTAGAAACCTCTCCCAAATAGCATGTTTTAAAATCGTGAGGCTGACAGCGATTCATACCGGGCCAAAACGGAGAAGTTATTGCTTGAGATTGTGCTGTGTTATTTTTCTTTCTCTTAATCATTTTCATTACTTTTTAATTCAAACAGGCAGCAGGATAATTTGGAAGGAACACCAACCGAAGCTGAACATGATGGTTCTCATAAACTTGCCGAGGATGAAAACGACCTATACTGGGTTTCAGAGGATGTGCCTGGTAGCTTATCAATTCATGGCATTGTAAAACTAGTGGAACATTCAGATAAAATGATGTTTCATGTTATAATTCAAATCTACTCATTGCAGTTGACCAAAAGAATAGCTTGGAGAGCACCAAAGAAGATGCTTGGTTACATCAAACTGTAAAGCCTCCAGCAAATTTAGTTGTTCTTGAAGGCGACTGCTTGGATGCATCTGGTGACAATGGGGAACTAGATTCATATCTGGTAATTAGTTGCTATAAGCAATTAACTTTACTTTTTATAGCATTTGAAAATTAATCATAACTTGTTTTAATCATTCAGTTGGCCACCGCTAGTGATATTTTCCAAGACTTTATTCTCTTAGATCCATGTGATGCTGAAGCAGTTCAAGATTTTCTGAATGGTGGTAATAAGTTTGGTCAAAGCCATAATGGTGGATGTCGGGGCAGCTCGACCCGCCGGGGTTATCAGTCGCCGCCCTCTAGACGATCTGGAGGACTTATGCAGAAGTCATCTATAGGAAAGACTCAGTGTGCTAATAATGTTCAATCAACGCCTTCAGATTCTCCATTTTGTGATAATTTTGCTGATGAAAATCATGAATTTGATATGGATATTGGACATTCAGAACCAGATGATTCAAATGACTCTGACTCTGACTCTGATGATGATGATCCTTGGAAGCCTTTGAATCCACATGAACCAGGAAATTTAAAAGTAAAACCATTTAGGAAAGGTTGTTGTCTTGTTGACCCATGTCTACTTGCATTCATTTTCTATTAATCTATGCTTAGAACCAACGTTTCTTTGTCTGTTCTTACTGTCTGGCAGTCAAAGCTTTCAAAAAGAATTATGTCAATTCTGTTAAGCATGAGTCTGTAGCTGCTTTGTTTCCACTAGCAAAACTACATGGCCCAATTAGTCCAGAGTTTGCAAAGATTTGGGAAGAACAGAACCATGGATTTGAAACACATAAAGAATCCAATTCTGCTCTGTTATATGAAAAGGTACAGTTTTTTGCGGCTTGTTACTATTAATCAAGTATTTCTTATGGTTGATGAGAGACAAGTGACACTAGCTATTGTGGCTCCAGCTGCGAAATTCACTTATCTATGAAGGTCTTAGAAGTTGTGATTCCCCTTCTGATGTAGAAGACGCCAATATAGATAATGGTTTTGAAGATGCCAATTCCCCTGACACTGATGATCCCGACAATCACAATATGGATGAGGACATGTGTTTTGGGAATGAAAAGGTTGAGTCAAGTCTAGAACATGTTCTTGTGGTGCGGTGACTATTTTCCTGAATTGTTTTTTGTTGTTAACTCATGGCTTTTATGCAGCATGATGCTTCTCATTTTGATAATGGTGAAGCATATGAACCTGAAATTCCAGATTGTCGATCAACTCTAGAAGATCTTTGTCGCTCTCATCTTGTAAGTGCTCACTGTGAATTTCTCACTGCATTTTTCCACGTTTTTTTTCACTAGCACCTGTTCGTTTACATTTTCTTGATGATCTGGAATATCTTGTGTGGTTATGGAGCCCACGTGGAACACGCTCATCTACTCATCAAGTGTAACTTGTTCAAGTTCTTAACACTTGGGCACGTGGGTAGGTTCTGGTTTGTTCTGTCTACGCTAGAATTTGTTCTAATAGATTTCTAAGGTGTTAAGAATAACGACTCTCATAATGGTATGATATTGTCCACTTTGAGCATAAGCTCTTATGGCTTTGCTTTCGGCTTCCTCAAAAGGCCGCATGCCAATGAAGATGTATTTCTTACTTATAAACTTGATCATTCCCTTAATTAGCCAACATGGGACTCCCTCCCAACAATCCTCAACCTAAGGTAGTTGTAATGACCCAAGCCCACTGCTAGTAGATATTGTCAGACTTTCTCGTTCGGGCTTCCTCGCAAAGTTTTTAAAACGCGTCTGCTAGGGAGAGGTTTCCACACTCATATAAAAGATGGTTCGTTCTCCTCTCCAACCGATGTGGGATCCACAATAGCTATGCACGTGCACTTAAATGTCCTTAAAAAATGAGATATTATGCATACCTTATTCTAGTTGATAGACCGGCAGAAATGCTTGGAATTTATAACAGTGAAGAGTTAACATGGAAGTTAACATCCACTTATGCAAATCCTGCCTTGTTTTTTTAGGACGCCCTCCTTGCACGCTTTTTTGAGACCGAGAAGCAGACAGAAATGGCCTCTCGAGTGTCTACATGGAAGCAGAACATTGAACACAATATGGAAGAGCAAGTAATGATATCTAATGTTTCTTCTGCCTACCTCAGTTCTAATTTGTCGTGTGCATAGCCGATACTCAGTTCTTCTGTTTATGTGATAGGACAAACACCCTCCATTTGATATTCATGAATATGGCAAAGTGATTGTTGAAGAATTATCTGGTGAAGCTGACAAAGGAGGAGGTATCATGCCTTTTTCTGATGTTGTTGAAGGGCAGGAGAAATACAATGTGGCACGAAGTTTTTCCGCTCTACTTCAATTGGTGATCTTCTAACCAAACATCATAGAAATCTTATAGTTTCTATGAATCTTTCTTAGTTTCATGAAAATTTGAGTTGATTGATCATCTTCAGGTGAACAATGGAGATGTGGAGCTGGAAAAGAGTGGTGCTCATGGGGAATCGATTTGCTATACTTCTGTGAATCCATTCCATGTTAAGCTTATTCCCCATAAACGGGTCGATAAAACACAACATCAAACCTCAAGAAAGAGACCCACATCCCCAGATAAGAGTAGAAATACTCTCAAAGGATCTAGGACGAGGGACTTGTCACAACAGAATCACAAACTTCCTGCAAAACTGGGAAAGGTTAGGGGCCTTAAGTGCAGTCCGGAAGGCAAGAGGAGACGAAGATCTCGATTGGTCGAACCGGTTGATTGAACAAGCTACCGGATGACAATAATCTAATGTACAGATTAGTCGAGTGTTTGCGTATTATAGAGCAATTCAACACGGCTTGTTGTAGTATTGAGTACCAACATTTCGTTGGGGTAATGAGTATGAAAGTTTCTAATTATTGAACGTAGAAGTATGTCTTATCTTATCCATGTAACTTTAGTAAACCAAGTCTAAGTTGTTGGAATCTATTTAATAGATCAAGTGAATACAGTGGCATTGAGTCTGGAGTTTCTGTTCTTGTGTTTTCATTGCTATTATTGTTCAGTGTTCTCTGTAGATTACAGCAGAGCCTGCTCTTCCACAGATCTATCTCAAATCCATTATTGTTGAGGCTGATTGATGGGTTATTGGCTTTCTATGTATTGTGTGAAGGGAAGTGTTTGGATGATGCAAATATGGAAGGGTTATGTAAGAATATCCATATGGAATAATGTGATGGGTGGCCAGGCATTGGATCGAGGTTGTCTCTCTTAACGTGGAGAATTCCTCTTTTTCTTCGAAAAATCATCGAATTTTAACATATTCTCAACAACAATGTCAAATTATCATCGAATTTTCCTTCGCCTACCACTTCTAGAGAATCGGATTTTTGCCTTTATTTCAAATCACTTACACTCGAGAAACCAGATTTAGATTGTTCTTACACAGGACGTCAATTGCTGGTTGAATACTATTTCCAAACCCCCTCTTAGGCTTGGGCTCGCCCCTGGCCTTCGAGAATTTCTGGAAGGGCTCCCTTTGGGGCAAAGCCCTACAATTTCAGTCTAATTTCTGTTGAACTTCACCATAATTATTATTAGATCATTTGGATTCTACTTTAAATTTATTTAAATAAAATGCATAACTTTCCATGAGCATCATCTCATATGCAAGATGAGAAGATCTGGATTTTCAATGAACCGTTTCCACTCGTTACAGAACTTGCTCACTGTTGCTCCATCCAATACTCTATGGTCTGCGCCAATGTTGATCTGAGAAAAGAGGCTTGGATCAGTTACCAAGTAAGAAAATATAGTGTTTTTCTGGGTTTTGTGCGAGAGATTGTTAAGGTTTCTCACCGTCATGATCGATGCGGGATACACGTCCCCATCTTCAGTAATCTGTGGAACCTTCTTGATTCGACCCATTGCAATGATGGCCACTTCAGGCAAGTTGAGCAGAGGGGAACCAAATTTTCCACCAATGGCTCCAATATTGCTCAAGGTTATTGTCCCGCCCGATACATCGACAGGACTAAGCTTGTTATCCATTGCCAGTCGTTGTAAGCGAGAAAGCTCCTTTGTGATCTAAGCAAATGCATTTAAAATTGAAGTGTTCAGTGAAACATTGACAAAGAATGGCTTGTTTAAGCAATATATGACATGGAAAAGAAAATGTAAATGATGGACTAAGGAACAGCGGACTGAAATCAAATCACAACGAGTATCGGCGATTTCAATGTCATAGATTTAAATAGACCAGCGTTCAACCTTACGAACTCAATTAAGAAACAAAAAAGCTCGAATCACCAAGCAAAAACAAGATCGTAGGAGGTGATTTACAAACCTCCAATACAGAAAGAGATTGGACACTCTTGATATTCGGCACAACCAAACCATTTGGAGTAGCCATGGCAATTCCGATATTATGGGAGCCTACAACAAGCAAAAGTAAATGAATCTTTATTTCAGATAAGAACAAGGAAAGAATTCTAATTTAAAAAGATGAGATCTACGGCATTGACCACAACAATCTGGGGGATATCATATTCTTTAACGTTTTCAATTCAATGTCTCCCTACTGCATACCTTTGAGAGTGACCTCAAATGACTCTTCATTGAAGCAACTATTTACCATTGGATATTTGCTCATTGCCATAGAAAGCGACTTGATCAATAATGGAAGAAAAGTGTGCTTGACATCTGGTTTGGTAGTATTTTCTTGGAAACATGCTTTAAGTTCCACAAGTCCATCACAATTGATCTCCTCTACATAATGAAAATGGGGGACTTTTGCAGAAATGGTCATAGATTTAACCATGGCTCGTTGATATCCTCTGGAAACAAACCACGTATCAGTTGAACGCAACAATAAATCACACAACAAATGTATACAGTCTCTACATGGCAAACAAATTAACTATTTTGCCAGCTGAAATCAAACTTCAAGGCATATTAGTTTTCCAAGTGGACTGATTCTATTGGCCTACTTAATAGTGATGAAAACAAGAGGAGTTACCTTTTAGCCGTACAGCACCACAATGCATGATTCTTCTATAGGTCTACTTCATAGTTCCTTACAAGTAAAAGCTATTAAATTAGTACCTCAATTGAACTTTCTTATCCTCGTAGCTCCACCAAACTTCATCTTGTGCATTCGGGTAATTTTCTGATTCAACTAATTGCTCTTTAGGACTAGGAGCAGAAGAAACACGCTGTTCTTCAATAATTCCTTTTTTGACAGCATACTGGAGAATATCATCTTTTAATATCCTTCCATCTGTACCAGTTCCACGGACATCATTTATATCGATATCATATTGTTTTGCAAGATTGCGAACAGCTGGGGTGGACAGAACTCCAACTCCTTTACTTTTGTCCAGTTGAGAATCCACTAATTCAGGTTTAGCCAAATGCTCTTCAGTTAACCCTGAAACCTGAGTTCCATCCTCGAATTCATCAACAAGTACTTTCAAAAGAGTTTCTCCAACCTGTGATAAAATTTGACAAAACATTAGAGTATTAGGGTACCTTTTCTGTTTAATCTCTAGAATACCATATTATTATTAATTACCAATGAAGTGCCTCTACATGAATGGACAATGTTCTTTCCGAAATGGTATCAAGGTTAAAAATTACAACATAAAACAATTAGACATCAGCTAGAAGCCCACAAGCTAAAACATTTTAATGTAAAGGAAACAAAATGTATAGCAACCTGTTCATTTGATACGCCAGCAACTTAATAATTATCCAGAATATAGACATTTATTTCAATACGTGAAGATTCTTTCTACTCTCCATCAACAAAAAATGAAAAGTTTCCATGAGTTCTAACTCATTACAATTAAGTGTTGAAACCTCACCTTCACAATATCACCCGGAACATATAGAAGTCGACTAACTTTTCCTTTGTATCGACTAGTTATTTCAATCGTTGCTTTGTCACTCTGAACTTCACAAATTGGTTGGAATTCTTCAACTTCCTCCCCCTGCCAAGAGATTAAATATAAACGTTCATCTACGTTTAACAAGAAGTCGTCCAATCAATCAATGTACAACGGATTAGCTTTAGAGCATTACATAAGCGTTTGAAGAAATCAACCAAGTCTCAATCATTTTCACGAAGGGTATCATAAAACGTGAAATACAAATAAAAGAAACAGAAGAAAATAAAAAGAACCCTCATGAAAGAGGGAAAAAGGTATTAAGCGTTTCACCTCCTTCACAAACCATTTAAGAAGCTCACATTCAGCAATCCCTTCACCAGTTTGAGCCAACGGTACATCTACCGTCCTAAAAACTGGAAGACCGTCCAAGGCCTGGCTTGAAAATCGACAAATCTTCGAAACTCCTTTTATACTCGCCTACAAAAAGAACCAATTCCGCAACTACATATCAAATACCTCATTTCTAATCTTCGGACTTCGCTGTGACAGATACAATATTAGACACAACAAAACATAGTCATCGACACCGCTGCTATCTCAGGATCCAAAAAAATCGAAATGGAGTTTGAGTTTTAAGATCACAATAACCAATGCTAACAACAGAAGGAAAACAACAAGCAGAGCATAAAAAACCAACCATCAAACTCACCTCGAAGCGATTAGCAGGCGAATGAAGCCCCGGTCTACAGAAACTAGGGCATGCAAGTGTACGATATGGCTCTGGAAGCGATTTGGGCGTCTGCTCCGACGGCAACTGAGAGATTGAAGCAGAGGGACCTTGGAAGGCCACCGGAAAGAGTAACCGACGACCGGCGGCCCAAGCACTCGTCGGAAAAATCTTCCTCCTGCTGATCATTAGAATCGACATCACAGTGAGCTTCTTGCAAATGATGAAAGGAAATTATGGAAGGTGTCGCGATTGTAAGAGTTTGGAAGAAGAAAGAGAAGAAGAATTCGATTCAACTGAATGAAAGCTTTTAGGCTCAATTGCCAGTTGGTGTATTATCAAGGGTTCGCACGTGCGTATTTTCCTTTTTTTTTAATTAAAAAAACAATTCATTTTTAAAATTGGGATTTAAATGGTTCAAATTTCCACCTGGATTTAGAAAAATCCTTAATAAAATATGTCTCATAATTATTCTAAATATGATATTAAAAAATAAAAGAAAAAAGAAAAATTCTTTTATTTGAACCCAACCAATAAAAAAAAAGTAGTATATAAATTATTTTAATGAAATTTTAAAATATAATATGGGTATTTTTTATTTTATAAATTAAAAATAGTATAATGGAATTTAAAGATGAAATGTGATGTTCGAGTACATATCCGTTTGAGTCAATGCTTATATGTCTTCTTTATCCAAATTCAAGCACTTTCCAAACTGCAACTAAAAAATGGCTGTCTTTATCTTTTTCACTAATAAAATATTGTTTTATAAAAATAAATAAATAAATAAATAAACAAAAGAGGTTATAAAATAAAATATTTTTTTAGTTTAAAGATTAAAATGAAATATTATTTTCTTTTTAAAAATTTAATGAAAAACAAATTTTTTTAAAAAAATTATAGATTTTTTTTATATTAGTATTGTTGTTAATAAAAGGAAAAAATGATGTATTTTACTCAAATTTTTTATTTCTAGTTTTTAATTTTTGAGTAAATTTTTGTATCTGAAATTTTTATTTAAGATACAAATTAAGAAAATTCTTTAATTTATAAAAAACAAAATTTAAAAATTAAATAGTTAACTTTTTAATTTTTTCTGAATTTATAGTTATAATTGTATCTTTCTTTATTTCATTATAGCTTTAGCGTCCTAATTTGACTTTATTTACTAAATGCATTTAATTTTGTCATTATTTTGAATAATAATCATTTAGAGTGGTGGCTAGAAATAACTTAAAACCAAAAAAATAAATAAACCCGAGTTAATATAGAAAAGAGAGGTCAAACTTACGAGAAGAATCTCCATATAGGACATTATTTGGGTCAACATAAAAAGATCGGACAATGAAGCAAAGAAGAATATAAGAATTTGCCAGTCTTGGCCTACGAAGTCGATGTTGATCCTATGATCTACCTCCTAAGGTGGTACGAATAATTTGGTATGATTTAAACCTCTTAAGGAGGCACGCGTGACCTAATTCTCGAGAAAAATGTCAGTACACTAAAAAAAAACCTCCTAGCTACTGTTAGACGAACACGACTCTCCACAATGGTATGATATTGTCCACTTTGAGCATAATCTCTTGTGGCTTTGCTTTGAGCTTCCCTCAAAATGCCTATTATAAACTCATGATCATTTCCTAAATTAGCCGATGTGGGACTTTCATCCAACACCTCCCCACGAACAAGTGGCTTTGCTTTGAGCTTCCCTTAAAAGGCCTATTATAAAATTAGCCGATGTGGGACTTTCATCCAACACCTCCCCTCGAACAAAGTACTTAATTGAGGCAGTATTCCTTGATTATATTATAAACCCATGTTCATTCCCTAAATTACATCCAACACCTCCCCTCGAACAAAGTACATCATTTTTTACTATGCCTTCGACCTTTTCTTTTTCTTTTGGAGTCATTTGTTCGACATTTGAGGATTCTATTGACAAGGCATGTTAGACGATCTATTGACATGGCTAAGTTTAGGGCATAACTCTTATACTATGTTAGACGAACACGACTCTCCGCAACAGTATGATATTGTCCACTTTGAGCATAATCTCTCGTGGCTTTGCTTTGGGCTTCCCCAAAAGGTCTCGTACCAATGGAGATAGTATTTCTTGATTATATTATAAACTCAGGATCATTTCCTAAATTAGCCGACGTGGGACTTTCATCCAACTACTACGAATAATCATTTGATCTAGTAAATTTATAGCCCAATCAAATTGGGCTTGAAATAAAAAAAAAAAANTCTACAGAAACTAGGGCATGCAAGTGTACGATATGGCTCTGGAAGCGATTTGGGCGTCTGCTCCGACGGCAACTGAGAGATTGAAGCAGAGGGACCTTGGAAGGCCACCGGAAAGAGTAACCGACGACCGGCGGCCCAAGCACTCGTCGGAAAAATCTTCCTCCTGCTGATCATTAGAATCGACATCACAGTGAGCTTCTTGCAAATGATGAAAGGAAATTATGGAAGGTGTCGCGATTGTAAGAGTTTGGAAGAAGAAAGAGAAGAAGAATTCGATTCAACTGAATGAAAGCTTTTAGGCTCAATTGCCAGTTGGTGTATTATCAAGGGTTCGCACGTGCGTATTTTCCTTTTTTTTTAATTAAAAAAACAATTCATTTTTAAAATTGGGATTTAAATGGTTCAAATTTCCACCTGGATTTAGAAAAATCCTTAATAAAATATGTCTCATAATTATTCTAAATATGATATTAAAAAATAAAAGAAAAAAGAAAAATTCTTTTATTTGAACCCAACCAATAAAAAAAAAGTAGTATATAAATTATTTTAATGAAATTTTAAAATATAATATGGGTATTTTTTATTTTATAAATTAAAAATAGTATAATGGAATTTAAAGATGAAATGTGATGTTCGAGTACATATCCGTTTGAGTCAATGCTTATATGTCTTCTTTATCCAAATTCAAGCACTTTCCAAACTGCAACTAAAAAATGGCTGTCTTTATCTTTTTCACTAATAAAATATTGTTTTATAAAAATAAATAAATAAATAAATAAACAAAAGAGGTTATAAAATAAAATATTTTTTTAGTTTAAAGATTAAAATGAAATATTATTTTCTTTTTAAAAATTTAATGAAAAACAAATTTTTTTAAAAAAATTATAGATTTTTTTTATATTAGTATTGTTGTTAATAAAAGGAAAAAATGATGTATTTTACTCAAATTTTTTATTTCTAGTTTTTAATTTTTGAGTAAATTTTTGTATCTGAAATTTTTATTTAAGATACAAATTAAGAAAATTCTTTAATTTATAAAAAACAAAATTTAAAAATTAAATAGTTAACTTTTTAATTTTTTCTGAATTTATAGTTATAATTGTATCTTTCTTTATTTCATTATAGCTTTAGCGTCCTAATTTGACTTTATTTACTAAATGCATTTAATTTTGTCATTATTTTGAATAATAATCATTTAGAGTGGTGGCTAGAAATAACTTAAAACCAAAAAAATAAATAAACCCGAGTTAATATAGAAAAGAGAGGTCAAACTTACGAGAAGAATCTCCATATAGGACATTATTTGGGTCAACATAAAAAGATCGGACAATGAAGCAAAGAAGAATATAAGAATTTGCCAGTCTTGGCCTACGAAGTCGATGTTGATCCTATGATCTACCTCCTAAGGTGGTACGAATAATTTGGTATGATTTAAACCTCTTAAGGAGGCACGCGTGACCTAATTCTCGAGAAAAATGTCAGTACACTAAAAAAAAACCTCCTAGCTACTGTTAGACGAACACGACTCTCCACAATGGTATGATATTGTCCACTTTGAGCATAATCTCTTGTGGCTTTGCTTTGAGCTTCCCTCAAAATGCCTATTATAAACTCATGATCATTTCCTAAATTAGCCGATGTGGGACTTTCATCCAACACCTCCCCACGAACAAGTGGCTTTGCTTTGAGCTTCCCTTAAAAGGCCTATTATAAAATTAGCCGATGTGGGACTTTCATCCAACACCTCCCCTCGAACAAAGTACTTAATTGAGGCAGTATTCCTTGATTATATTATAAACCCATGTTCATTCCCTAAATTACATCCAACACCTCCCCTCGAACAAAATACATCATTTTTTACTATGCCTTCGACCTTTTCTTTTTCTTTTGGAGTCATTTGTTCGACATTTGAGGATTCTATTGACGAGGCATGTTAGACGATCTATTGACATGGCTAAGTTTAGTGCATAACTCTTATACTATGTTAGACGAATACGACTCTCCGCAACAGTATGATATTGTCCACTTTGAGCATAATCTCTCGTGGCTTTGCTTTGGGCTTCCCCAGAAGGTCTCGTACCAATGGAGATAGTATTTCTTGATTATATTATAAACTCAGGATCATTTCCTAAATTAGCCGACGTGGGACTTTCATCCAACTACTACGAATAATCATTTGATCTAGTAAATTTATAGCCCAATCAAATTGGGCTTGAAATAAAAAAAAAAAACCAACAAAAAAGTTCGAGCCCAAGCCCAAATTCGCCAAATAAATAAATAAATATATTTAAATCAAATTAATATTTTTACATTCATTGAATGTCGTCTTTTCTTTTTGGACGTAATTTAAATTATATATTAAAAAATAAAAAGTATGGCCCATGAATTATTATCAATTAATTTAAGAAATTGTTGCATGCAAAATAAGAGAGCTAATAATCGCATATTTCACATCATAACCAAACTAATTATTTTGTTCATAAATCCTTAATAATACCAACAATTACGAATAATGCACCATAATTAAAGATCTTAAACTAGTTTATGATTAAAATTAATGTGAATATTATTAAATGTAATGATATTTAAAGTAATAATTTAATTATTACTTCAAAGTAAAATAGTGTTAAATTAGGTTGTGAAGCTTATTAATTAATTTTAAATTAACAAATTAATGTTGAATTTAAACTCTAAAATTAATGATTGCGTGTGAAATCAATTATGCATTAACATCACTCCCAACAAACACGCTTTTGAAGCTCTTTTTAGTTCTACACGTAATTTCATTTTAGAAATGATTATAAGAGTATGAGTGTTAAGTTGTGATTGGAAGGTTTAAGTAATTAATAATTTTTATTTATAATATTATCAATTTTTGTGAATGTTAAGTTTCATTTTGTCCTTGGCCATAAATATTAAATTAATAAAAATATTCGTATATTTTATTTAATAAATTATTTCAATAATAGGTTTAAATTGTTTAAATAATTTTTAAAATATTTTTTTAACTTTTAATATTATTTTAAAAAATATTATTAAATTTTAAAAAGATTAAAAAAAATAGACGTGGTTGTATTAAGAAAAATACCCATAAAATAAAATTAAACATACATTGAAATTAATTTAAAAAATGCAAATAATAATAAATCAAGAATTTATTTATATTTTGTTTACAAAATATTATTGAATTCATAAAATTTTATAGAAGAATATAAATTGTTTATTAATTTTTTTTAAATAAATATAATAATAATAAATAAATAAATAGACAAAAATACTGGTTAGAATCCGTTCTTGCAAATCTCTATTAGATCGAACAAAATTAAATAAAAATTTGTATGATGATATAGAAATTGAAGTAGATGGTACGAACACCACACGAATTTATAGTTACAGTATTGAATTTTAAATTTGAATAAATGTTACAATCATACCGGATGAAATTTTAATTTTACAAATAAGCCCCAAAACTTATCAAAATAACAATCAAGTAACAAATAAAAGCCTTTGATTGATAAAATAAAAAGTCGAAGGGCTGATTTGTGTAATTTTAATGAATTAGACAAAACGACAAAGAGTGAGAAATAAAATTAAAAAAAAAAAAAAGAAGGAAAAAAAAAAGGAAACGTGGCAGCAAAAGAGAAGAAGCAGTCAAATCGTGCTTCTTACAGCTATATAGCTGTACGGGCCCCACCCTTTCCATCCCCTTTTTTTCTTTATTTATTTATTTATTTAAATTTCCATTCACAACCGCCTCATTCAACATCCCCCCTCTGTCTCCCTCCACCTTAGAGAGAGAAACACCACCGTACCGCCCGCCGCCCGCCGGGAGAAAGAATGAGACATGGTAGGACTCAGTGCAATTTTAGAAACTCGGAAACTCGGCATTACTGACTCAACTCGTCAGGTCATTAACAAATCCACTCTTATTATGATTAATAGCAACGCCAACGACCAGCACCGCCACCGCCACCACCGTTCTTCTTCTTCTAGAAGTTTTCAGTTTTCGAGAACGCCCAGATTTCTCGACCGCTGCTTTCTCTGCGGTCAGAAGCTCCTCCCCGGAAAAGACATCTACATGTATGAGTAAGTACTCATTAGAAAAAGATTTTATATTTTAAAAAAGATTTTTATTATAATTTTTGACGACGTGGGTTTTTTCAGAGGAGACAAGGGTTTCTGCAGCGAGGAGTGTCGATGCCGGCAGATTTTCATGGACGAAGAACAGAGCATGCTGGAAGCAGGGAACTGCTCGTTGGCGGCTGCCATTAACCCACAAACCACCACATCGCCGTCGTGTCCCTCGCCTCAGCCATCTCGCCACCCTAGAGCTACCAGAGACCACACCCAAGCTTTTGCCTACTGATCATCACACCAAAAATGGGTGGGTTCTGATTTCTGATTACTGAAGCTGGGAAAGAAGGGTGTTTTTAAGATTCAATAGGCAAAAAGATTTCCATGATGGGTTTTTTCTTTTTTTATTTTATTTTTTTGTTTGGGTTAAGCATTGGTGTTTAATTATGAAAGAACATATATGCAAAGTTGCGTTTGTTTTTGATAGTAATGTGTTAAAGAAGAAAAATACATTAAAACCAAATGTTTCAAACAAAAATGGTAAAATTCATATAATTGAATAGTTTGGTTTAATTTAAATCACATACTACAAAAAGAAGGTGCCGTGTAATTACGGGTTGATAGTAATGTGTTGAAATTTGAGAGAGTAAAATTAAGAATAATTATTTATATAAAGTACTTTTTTCTTTGATATAATTAAAGTAGCTATTTTCGAAAAGAAATATGCGTTTGTGAGCTGTAAATTAGAGAATGACAAGAAAATATCAAGTTTTAGGTCAACTTATTAAGTATTTATCTAAATCTTTATCACATTAATTGATTTTTTTTTTTTTTTTTTTTTTTTTTTTTTTTTTTTTTTTTTT